TTCAAACTTTGTACGCTTTGATCCCTCTCCTTAAAGAAACCATAATTTTTGCTCCTCCAAAACAAACGGCGTTAAAAATCAGGTGAGGTGGCTAACGGTGAAGTGTCACGTCATTTTTTTTACATTGAGTCAATTTGTTCCTCACCGTTCGGTCACCATCACCATTCAGTCACTATCACTGTTCGGTCACCTTCACCATTCAGTCGTCATAACCGTTCGGCCATTACCAATACCGTTCGACCACCATCACCATTCAGTCATCATAACCGTTCTACCATTAACAATACCGTTCGACCATTAACAATACCGTTCGACCATTACCAATACCTTTCGACCACCATCACCATTCAGTCATCATAACCGTTCTGCCATTAACAATACCGTTCGGCCATTACTGTACGGTGAGGGACATATTGACTTAGTGTCAGAAAAAAAAATGACATAGCAATTCGTTAGCCAACTCATCCTAATTCTAATGAGGTTAGTTTTGAAGGACCAAAAATTATAGTTTCATTAAGGAGAGGGATCAAAGTGTACAAAGTTTGAAAGAGGGACGAAAAACAAAGTCGCTTGATAGTTGAAGGACTAAAAACATATTTAACCCTATAAAAAAATTCATTAGAATTTAAAAAATTGATGTAAGATATATTTAAAATATTTTTTTAATTTGATCATTTGTTTTCCTTTTGTATTTTTTTAAAATTATTTTTAAATTTTATCAATTAGAATTCATTAACATATGCAAATTTAATAAATGCTTTGGTTATGATGAAATTTTATTTGGTATTCTAGTTTGAAATGTATACAATTATAATTATAACTTCTTTCTAAATATTTGTGATTAAAGAAACGAGAATACCTTCTTCATTTTGATACTGCATATTTGGTAACCTTATGTTCCTTTGCTATAATTTTTATTATTAAAAAAATTGAATGATATTAAAATAGTAATAAAGTAAGTATGTTGTTACTCGTTGAGAATGAGGATGAGACAAAAATTTGATACCCAATGAGTTTGGGTATGACGACGTGGATGAATTTTTTTTTCCTCTAAGAATAGGTATGCACTACTATAGTAAAGGGATATGACCGTGATTGTTTTCAACAATTGACAATGATTTGAGAACCTAGATATATTAAGACGAGGTAAAAAAACATGGGTTTTTGCTATATGTTCTTAAAATTAAATAATTATTTAAATTCTGATAGGGTGTATGACCTCAATTGTTTGTAGAATTGTTGTTAAAAGTATTTTTTGCTTTGGTTACAACTACTGCCATATGCCCAATTTTAATTGAAATAATTTTTTAATTTCAGGATCTTTGGCCTCGTTTGTAGCTAGAATCGAGACCATAAACCCTTTTTCTCCTTGATTTTTTCCATAAATGTTGCCCAAAGTTTGTGTTTGTTTTTCTTAACATCATTATGTTTCCATAACATCTTACATCACAAAAACAGACTTGTATATCAAAACCATTATCCGCAGCATAAAAAGAGACCATAATATATTTTTCAATCTAAATTAGAATTATAACCCAAAATAAATTCAATGTACAAATTATGATATCATGATGTACAAATTATTATATCTTAACAATTACATACTATTATACAATTATTATATATTTTGCGTAGGCTTTCCATATTAATGAATGGACTTGTTAGGAATTGGAAGATGAGCCTTGATTTCAATTAGTTTATATGATTTCCAAGTAATGGAGAAAAAAAATTGATTCAATGCATATATTACCATTTTCCAGCCACTTGTTATATAAACACGAATAATAGTCGTCATCCAATGAATTACATAGTAACCACACTCAAATGACCTGATTGTCTATTACACAATAATATATAATCATTATAAATAATTGAGGAACATCAATAGAATAAAACAATTATAAGAATGTATGGATCAAAATTCCAAAACCCTAGGGCCAACCGCCCAAGCTTTTTGGCATTAACAATTGATTTCCCTTATAATAACATATGTGAAAGAATTGACTATGATAAAAAGAATGTCTTAGGATACAATTATATAACAAAGAAAGTTCGTAACATTGAGGTCCTTACCTATCTATATTACTTGTGTAAGATCTTTAGGGCGAGACTTGTGCAATGAACAAAATCACACAGTAATGTTGTCTAGTAGAAAAATCACGAGTAGCTGTCAATGTTGCCTGAATTGATAATAACTTAATTGTTATTCCTTAAAATCATAGATAGAAAAGTTAACAAACTACACTTATGCAACAATATAAGGAACACAATATATTTTCTTCTCTCGACCAAAGTAGTTGGTGACTATGCTTAGATGTCATCAAATTTATTGTCTTCATCAGTAAGTTTGGGACAATGAACCCATATACATTATTGACTCCATATTGTTACTTAAACTAAATATATATCTGAAAACAAAAAAATATTATTTGATTTAAGTACTAGATAAGTCAATTATGTAAAGAATGCTTCATACTTATTTTATCTATAACTAAATGAAAGTAATATTTATGCTAAATACCCTCGAATCTCTGCTAGCAAAGATGGGATAAAAAAAAATTATCAATCTCGCAAAACATCTATTTTCCTTGCTTCCAAATATCTTCAAACAAACATAAATATAATCGCTAATCCGTTTATGTTAATATTAATAATAAGTAAAATAACCCTAAACGAACACAAAGTAAAGAAACACTATAAATTCATAGTTCACTCTATTTTCTTAAAAATTATCATATATGTATATGATGTAATTAAGATTTTAGATTGCTTCAAATTTCCTTATAAATAATATTTATGTCTTATAAAATATTTGAAATTAAAAATTAATCACAATCTTAAAAAATTGAGATAGTAGATACAAAATCAACAAATCCAAATTTTAAAGATAAAATTAAAATAAAATCGTAGAAAATATTCATATTTATGCCAACTTTTAGTATTATCACTGTCCTCTTATATTTTTCATTATTTTATCTTCTGATATATTTTAAAAGATTAACTGGAAAAATATTTAATTTTTGTTAATGATAGTTTATAACTGTTTAAGGATAATAAAAATATACCACACATTGTCAACTTATAAATGATAGCAGTGAATGGTTTAAATTAAGGCCTACTTATCCTTAGTTAAGTAATATTCTGATTGAGTCGCAGGAAGTTTCATTTCAAAGTAATAGATTTAAATTTAATTACCTAAAACATTATAAGTTTTCTTGCACGTATCAACACTGTAATATCTATAATTATTTCTCTCGCCAAGTGCCATTTAATATTTGTAGTGTAATTTCCATTTACTTTCATAATAGCATTCTCATTGGTTGCTCTTAGGTTATTATATATCTTTCGTAATAGCATTCTCATTGGATATTATAAGATGATATATACATGCATGCGGTCTTGCGTGTCTAATTCAATCTGACTTTAGTTATGAAAATGATTTTACTACTAGTGGAAATATAAAATCTATTAAATAATTTAATATGCCTTTCTATTTCCTGAGTCCTAAACCCGTATAAACCTTACTTCATAGTAAGAAAATTATTTTTCAGACACCAAGTTACTGACTAATATTTAACAAGTTCATTATATTGACTCTTAGATAAAAAAAAAGTAATTACCACATTTGATCCAATATTTGTTATAATTCTGATATGATTCTTCAAGTTTTTGTTCAACTTATTTTTTATATTTATTAAAAAAATAATATGATTATTTCTATCAAATTGGTATGAATGATGTTTAAAATTTATTTTTTGAATTATTTTTCATGTAAAATTACCTTTTAAATTGTCATAATTAATTTATTTTAACTTTTATCTTTTAATAGATAATAAGGTTAACCATATAATTTTTGTTGGGATATTGTTGATCTTAAATAATTTTGTATTATTCTTTAGCTTTAAGAAACTCCTTTAAGCTGGGATACTGAAATTGTTCATAGCTTATTTCATTATAGATTTTATTTTCATAGTTAAACCTTAAGGTAGTTATGATTTATGCAATTCAATTTAAGCAAAATTTTTAATTTCCAATCAAAATATATGAAAAAAAAACTTTCGAAACATAAAAATAAAAAACTAACAAAAAATAATATGTGACAAAAAGGAATATATTTCCAATTCTAATACAAACACAACAAATAGAATAAAAATAATATTAACATTAATAGAAAAAAAAAGTCTACTAACCAAAAATGAGAAAAATTGGTACACACAAAAAAACACGAGATTAAAAAAAATGAGATATGTTAAAATCCTCAAAAGAATAATCCTGAAGAGAGATAGAGCTTGCTATCAATAGAAGAAAAATCACAGAGGTAAAAGAAGAAAATAAAAATCAAAGTTGATTATAAGAGATTAAAGATAATGAATCATTATCTTTTTCATAAACAAAATTATAATTCATGAAAAAATGTTTTAACTCAGTAAATATCATTCGTAATACCGATAAAAATTAATTGATGATAATAAAGATATTAGTACTAAAAAAATTCAGATTTTTTCCCCTAAATATAATTTTATAATTAATTTAATAGAACAATATTAGTCTTAAAAGAAAAATTTGAGATTTTTATTTCAAATATAATTTTATAACAATTTAATGGAAGAATATTAGTATAAAAAAATATTTTTGAAGCTTTTGCTTTTAGATTTAAGAAGTGTTTTACTAGCTTCACCATTATGTCACTCCAATTTAAAATTTTGAGTTGAAGGTAATCCCTTATATGTGATCGGGTATCATATTGCATTTTTTTAATCATTCACTCTCAAAAGTAAATCTTAGTAATCAATTTAGAAAAATCCCATATGTCGAAAGTCTTATACATGAATATTAACCTTTTTTTAATAAATATAACCACATCATTCAAAAAAAAAAGTTGAAGAATCATAAATAATGAATAAATAAATGTCAAATTCGAAATCCTCACCCACACCTTCCCCTATATATTATTTCCCAAGTCTTCTCATATTCACCAAGAACTAATCATATCTATCAAAATGAAACCAAACCTTTCAGCGTTCCTATTACCGTTCCTTCTCCTTCTCCACCAATCCCTTTTCACGAAAGCTGGTCTTCCTCTTTCTAAAGTTTCCCCAAACGAATTCAAGTGGCTCAGGGGAAAAAATCAGTCAAAATGGATTGTTCACAATTTCCTCGAACAAAACCAAACAACAAAGCAAATCAAAGGCTTGTCTCAAATCAAAGAGTACTTTTCTAACTTTGGCTACCTTCAACCCTCTGACACATTCGACGATTCTTTGGACCAGCAAACAGTATCAGCCATCAAGACCTACCAGCAATCTTTCAATCTCCAAGTTACCGGCGACCTAAACAATGAGACATTACAACTAATCTCATTACCCCGCTGTGCTGTCCCCGACATGAATTTCACCTACAACTTCATCGGAAACGTGTCGTGGCCCAAAGCCGGTAACCAGTGGTTCCAAAAGATAAACCTCACGTACGGTTTTCTTCCTACAAATCGTATCACGGCCAACGCCACGGAAGTGTTCGGACAGGCATTCACGCGGTGGGCAAATGCCACAGGGCGTTTGAACCTCACGCAGACAAACTACGATGACGCAGACATTAAGGTTGGATTCTACAATCTCGATGACGTCATTAACGCCAATGTGTATGGCGTCAGCTTTATAAGGGAGGAACCTCCGTCTAACGTGAAGACGGCGGAGATGCGTCTCAACGGGAAGAGGTTGTGGGCGCTGCCCAGTCAAAATGGCAGCTTGTCGTGGGAGAATGATGTTCTGGACTTAGAGAGTGTGACTATGCATGAGATAGGACATTTACTTGGACTTGACCACTCTTTCTTGAACGAGTCTGTTATGTATCCTTACATTTTGCCATCACAACAAAGAAAGATACAACTCTCGGACTCCGACAAGAACAATCTTCTCCAACAGTAGTATGTTACGTTAGCTTTGCGATGGTGTGTGTTGTTGATTTATAAGCTTAAGGGGAATAGTTTCATTTGGAATAAGATTGAGGAATGTGTTTGTCACCCCTCCAAGATCTCTTTCGTTTGAGTCGTGTGGATGTAATGTTATTGCAATCAAATGATAACATATAATTTATCGTCAAATGATTAAAAAAATTATTAAAATATCATGATCGTTTATTTTGTGCAATTTCATTGAACGGTTTATCAAATATTTTTTAAGACACACATTTGATAATTTTTTAATATTTTTGTTTTTTTGTTTTATTTTAATCATGTAGAATAATGTTTTGATCTTTTTTATATAATTATTTGTCATTTCTAAATCATTATCATAAATTTAATTTAATGTAATTGTCATGAATATTTATATTATCATCTAATATACACTGAAGTTCAAAAGATGAAAATACTATGTTAAATTTTACTTATTATTAGTTTTAATTTTGTTCGATTTTGATAAAATGATGTGTTATAATTTTTATTAGTAGAGAAAAAAAAGTTCATTAAAATTTAAGATGTACTAGACATTTAAAATATTTTTTAATTTGAATATTTGTTTTTTTTTATATTTTTTAAAATATTTTTAAATTTTATCAACTAGATTCCATTAACATTTGTAAATTCAATAAATGTTTTAGTTTTAATGAACTTTTATTTAGTATTTTAAATATAATTATAACTTCTTTCTAAATATTTGATATTGAAGAAACGAGTATAATCTCATTTTGATATTGAATATTTGATAATCTTATTACAGAAAAAAAAGTTATTAAAATTTAAGATGTACGAGACATTTAAAATATTTTTTAATTTGAATATTTGTTTTTTTTTTATATTTTTTAAAATATTTTTAAATTTTATCAACTAGATTTCATTAACATTTGTAAATTTAATAAATGTTTTAGTTTTAATGAAATTTTATTTAGTATTCTAAATATAATTATAATTTCTTCTAAATATTTGACATTGAAGAAACGAGTATAGTTTCATTGAATATTTGATAATTTTAGAATCCTTTGTCGTAAGTTTTATTATTTTATAAAAATTTATTGAGTGATATTGAAACAATAAAGAAATGAGATGAGTACAAATATTTACTTGTTACAATAAAAATGAGGATGAAACAAAAATTAATATATGTTGAGTCTGGGAAAGAGGACATGGATGATTTTTTTTCTCTAAGAATGGGTATAAAATAGCAAAACTCACCCTTTCCCAATTAACATCTTACTAAACACTCTTATAAGTAAATACATTCATTATCAACGCACTACAAAAATGTCAAATTTCACTAGGCATTAATTTTACATTATTAACNATGCAATTCAATTTAAGCAAAATTTTTAATTTCCAATCAAAATATATGAAAAAAAAACTTTCGAAACATAAAAATAAAAAACTAACAAAAAATAATATGTGACAAAAAGGAATATATTTCCAATTCTAATACAAACACAACAAATAGAATAAAAATAATATTAACATTAATAGAAAAAAAAAGTCTACTAACCAAAAATGAGAAAAATTGGTACACACAAAAAAACACGAGATTAAAAAAAATGAGATATGTTAAAATCCTCAAAAGAATAATCCTGAAGAGAGATAGAGCTTGCTATCAATAGAAGAAAAATCACAGAGGTAAAAGAAGAAAATAAAAATCAAAGTTGATTATAAGAGATTAAAGATAATGAATCATTATCTTTTTCATAAACAAAATTATAATTCATGAAAAAATGTTTTAACTCAGTAAATATCATTCGTAATACCGATAAAAATTAATTGATGATAATAAAGATATTAGTACTAAAAAAATTCAGATTTTTTCCCCTAAATATAATTTTATAATTAATTTAATAGAACAATATTAGTCTTAAAAGAAAAATTTGAGATTTTTATTTCAAATATAATTTTATAACAATTTAATGGAAGAATATTAGTATAAAAAAATATTTTTGAAGCTTTTGCTTTTAGATTTAAGAAGTGTTTTACTAGCTTCACCATTATGTCACTCCAATTTAAAATTTTGAGTTGAAGGTAATCCCTTATATGTGATCGGGTATCATATTGCATTTTTTTAATCATTCACTCTCAAAAGTAAATCTTAGTAATCAATTTAGAAAAATCCCATATGTCGAAAGTCTTATACATGAATATTAACCTTTTTTTAATAAATATAACCACATCATTCAAAAAAAAAAGTTGAAGAATCATAAATAATGAATAAATAAATGTCAAATTCGAAATCCTCACCCACACCTTCCCCTATATATTATTTCCCAAGTCTTCTCATATTCACCAAGAACTAATCATATCTATCAAAATGAAACCAAACCTTTCAGCGTTCCTATTACCGTTCCTTCTCCTTCTCCACCAATCCCTTTTCACGAAAGCTGGTCTTCCTCTTTCTAAAGTTTCCCCAAACGAATTCAAGTGGCTCAGGGGAAAAAATCAGTCAAAATGGATTGTTCACAATTTCCTCGAACAAAACCAAACAACAAAGCAAATCAAAGGCTTGTCTCAAATCAAAGAGTACTTTTCTAACTTTGGCTACCTTCAACCCTCTGACACATTCGACGATTCTTTGGACCAGCAAACAGTATCAGCCATCAAGACCTACCAGCAATCTTTCAATCTCCAAGTTACCGGCGACCTAAACAATGAGACATTACAACTAATCTCATTACCCCGCTGTGCTGTCCCCGACATGAATTTCACCTACAACTTCATCGGAAACGTGTCGTGGCCCAAAGCCGGTAACCAGTGGTTCCAAAAGATAAACCTCACGTACGGTTTTCTTCCTACAAATCGTATCACGGCCAACGCCACGGAAGTGTTCGGACAGGCATTCACGCGGTGGGCAAATGCCACAGGGCGTTTGAACCTCACGCAGACAAACTACGATGACGCAGACATTAAGGTTGGATTCTACAATCTCGATGACGTCATTAACGCCAATGTGTATGGCGTCAGCTTTATAAGGGAGGAACCTCCGTCTAACGTGAAGACGGCGGAGATGCGTCTCAACGGGAAGAGGTTGTGGGCGCTGCCCAGTCAAAATGGCAGCTTGTCGTGGGAGAATGATGTTCTGGACTTAGAGAGTGTGACTATGCATGAGATAGGACATTTACTTGGACTTGACCACTCTTTCTTGAACGAGTCTGTTATGTATCCTTACATTTTGCCATCACAACAAAGAAAGATACAACTCTCGGACTCCGACAAGAACAATCTTCTCCAACAGTAGTATGTTACGTTAGCTTTGCGATGGTGTGTGTTGTTGATTTATAAGCTTAAGGGGAATAGTTTCATTTGGAATAAGATTGAGGAATGTGTTTGTCACCCCTCCAAGATCTCTTTCGTTTGAGTCGTGTGGATGTAATGTTATTGCAATCAAATGATAACATATAATTTATCGTCAAATGATTAAAAAAATTATTAAAATATCATGATCGTTTATTTTGTGCAATTTCATTGAACGGTTTATCAAATATTTTTTAAGACACACATTTGATAATTTTTTAATATTTTTGTTTTTTTGTTTTATTTTAATCATGTAGAATAATGTTTTGATCTTTTTTATATAATTATTTGTCATTTCTAAATCATTATCATAAATTTAATTTAATGTAATTGTCATGAATATTTATATTATCATCTAATATACACTGAAGTTCAAAAGATGAAAATACTATGTTAAATTTTACTTATTATTAGTTTTAATTTTGTTCGATTTTGATAAAATGATGTGTTATAATTTTTATTAGTAGAGAAAAAAAAGTTCATTAAAATTTAAGATGTACTAGACATTTAAAATATTTTTTAATTTGAATATTTGTTTTTTTTTATATTTTTTAAAATATTTTTAAATTTTATCAACTAGATTCCATTAACATTTGTAAATTCAATAAATGTTTTAGTTTTAATGAACTTTTATTTAGTATTTTAAATATAATTATAACTTCTTTCTAAATATTTGATATTGAAGAAACGAGTATAATCTCATTTTGATATTGAATATTTGATAATCTTATTACAGAAAAAAAAGTTATTAAAATTTAAGATGTACGAGACATTTAAAATATTTTTTAATTTGAATATTTGTTTTTTTTTTATATTTTTTAAAATATTTTTAAATTTTATCAACTAGATTTCATTAACATTTGTAAATTTAATAAATGTTTTAGTTTTAATGAAATTTTATTTAGTATTCTAAATATAATTATAATTTCTTCTAAATATTTGACATTGAAGAAACGAGTATAGTTTCATTGAATATTTGATAATTTTAGAATCCTTTGTCGTAAGTTTTATTATTTTATAAAAATTAATTGAGTGATATTGAAACAATAAAGAAATGAGATGAGTACAAATATTTACTTGTTACAATAAAAATGAGGATGAAACAAAAATTAATATATGTTGAGTCTGGGAAAGAGGACATGGATGATTTTTTTTCTCTAAGAATGGGTATAAAATAGCAAAACTCACCCTTTCCCAATTAACATCTTACTAAACACTCTTATAAGTAAATACATTCATTATCAACGCACTACAAAAATGTCAAATTTCACTAGGCATTAATTTTACATTATTAACGATTTTAACCATCCGTAAATACTTTCTCCACCATTACGAAAATCGTCAGGATAAATAGTGTTGGTAAATAATTATCGACATTTTTTATTAACCATTGATACTTGAAAGGCTTTTTCAGAACCGTCGATACTTGAGAAGATTTCTAGAATCGCTGGTACCTGGGAAAGTTTTCCAGAACTGTCGATAATTGTGTGAGTTTTCCTAAACTATCGTTACTTGCAAACGTTTTCCAAAATCATCGCTATTTGTATGCATTTTTTCAAACCGTCACTACTTGTTGGAGTTCTTCAAAAGTATCATAAATGCAAATCATTTTAATTTTCTTTTGGGATTATATAAATGATTTGATTATCATAAAAATGCTTAAAT